ATTTCCCATTGAAAAAAGTAAAACATAGACAGTCTCAGACTACTGGTTCTAGTGTCTGAATTTTTGTTTTTGTCTTAAACTTGAAATCCAATTCTTGTTTATTTTGATGAAAAAAATACACCATAGGCAATGAAAAATGTAATGTAAAACATATCCAAACACAAAATTTAGATTGATTGTTGTAAATACTACTTCAAGGCTATTTAACTGGTATTACGTCTTTTAAAGTGCCACTTTTCCAAAGTTGAAACAAAGGTGAAATCGAAAAACCCAGTTGTAGCTACATATATAAAGTCGTGGCTACATCTGTCGATCTGTCTGTCTGCTACTCTGCTAGCAGAAACACAGAAAACGAGTAGACCTATATACCAGATGTGTTGGGCTGGACCAAGGACCATGCTAATGGAACTATGGAGCTGTATACACGGCGCATGCGCAGCAATGTGTATTATGTATTATTGTATTGAGAAAAAAAATCGCACATTCCACATTTGACAAAAATAATTATTTTACCTGCTATACATAAAAATATGACAATTTGCAACTATTCAACATAAACGACAATTACATTGCAAACGATCGATATCAATTTTGATAGTATAGACACACTGCAAAGGGTGGAGGAGATACTTTTTATATGTCTCTCGCACGACGGTATCAAATTTATTTTTTTTTGCAAAACTGCTTGATCCGACAGTTTTTTACAAAGCGGTTGCAAACGTTGCTAACGATTCCACAGTTTTGGGTATTTTTTTCGAGTCGAAATTAGCAAGTTGTTCGCGGAGTTCGCAGAGCTCCTTTATATTATATATATAGATGTATATCAATAACGGCATACTTTAAAACGGACAAAAAATTATCAGTTTGAGGCCTTGAATTTTTCGAATGCAGCCAAAAACTACAAAAGAAACTGAATTTTTCCCGAGAACAGTCATTTTTAAGGCTACGGTGTAATACTTCAGAAGAAGTAATTAGTAGTACAGTGGGTAGCGTTACAGGTTCTGAGAAAATCATCTTAAAATCTTAATTCCATCAAATGAAAATTAAACTTTAATTTTGTATATCATGTACAAATTCATGAGTCTCCATTATTGGCTTATTGTGATGGAAAAATCGAAAAAATTTTTTGCAATACATTGATTCTCATTAAAATACAAAACATTTGAGTTTGACCATCTACCTTGAATCGCGTATATTCGTGAGAACATTTTTTTTTGGATACATTGGATTCATCAGATTTTGGGACCACCACTTTTACAACATATAACTTCTTAAAACAATAATTTTTTTTGTCTTCAAAATGTAGAATTTAAGCTCACCCTGGTTACTTTATGTTCCTATGGTGCAAAGTAAATAAAAAAAGCAGGATTTTTCTTAATCGTCCTTATAAATAAAAATTTTTTGCACAGAACATGAGCCTGTAACGCCAACATAGCCCTTGTCATGTGAAAGAAGTAGCTTCTTATGATCTAATTTCTGTTGTATTCATAGCAAAAAATTATTTAAAAATCAAACTTCTATAAACAGCGTTTCAATAGTCTTGGCCATGGAAAATTACGTTATTTGTAGAATAACTTGTACTTATACTCACCTATCCAATTATTAAAATCTATAACTTCTTTCAGACTTCCACACTTAGTGAAATCTCCAGCATGAATGAAAACATCTCCTTTAGGAATGTCAAAGTTTATGTACTGAGTCAAAGAATGTGTGTCACTCATACAAACAATTCGAAGCTAAAACAAGTAAGTGACGATAATTCTTCCTAACTTAGATAAGATGGATAAAATATACGTCGTAAACTGTAACTTGTAAACTTGCAACTCACCTTATCTGTAGGAGACTCGCTTGTTGGAGTCTTAACATTAATTTTAATAACTTTCTGATGTTGGGAAATTTCCCTCCAAGCATCAGTAGGATTTTTTGTTAATGGATGAACAGCGATCTCCATATTTTAATTCTTGTTAGTATAGAAATATTACTTCACAGTTCATTAAATCGTCAGTATTTTTGCACTCATAGCTTACAAGTTTATTTACACCAACTTTTCATATTGATAAAGAACTCTAGTACTTATATAGTGTTAAAAGGTAGAGAAAATACCTACACATAAGTATTATTCTTGAAAACAAAGTTCGTTAAAAAAAAACATTCTCTCGTGAATGGCTAAATGTATTCTATACTTTTTATAATGTAATATTGTAATAAAAACTGAACAAGACGACCAACATGTGCAGCGGCAAAATTACTGCTTTAATAACTTTAATCTGTAAGTTAGCCATGTGCGCCTAACCTTCGATACATTAGGTTTGTTCGGAATCCGAAATCCGGCGACCACGGGCGACCCAAGGCTGCCCGCGCTACTACAAGTTTGACTCAAGAACGAGCGTTCTTTGGGTAAACGCGGGCCACTCAGCCCACCCATGTTGTTGAGAACCAACTGATCCACTGAGGGTCCTGATGATTGGCTGGAATCTCTCCTCCTATAAGTACTCCGTCATGCGTGACGTGCCGTTGTGGTGTGTTTCTTGTCCGCAGACTAACTTTTTCTTACCATATCACACACATGCGTGTATATCTATATATATCAGCATTGGGTCGTCCACGACCATGTGTTAGCCTTCGGCCTTGGGTCGCCCGTGGTAGCCGGATTTTGGCTTCTGAACAAACTTATTGTCAGGCCACAATTATGGAAGGTTTGCTCAAGCTCGAAGAAGGTCGGATGGTCAGTCCTGTTTCTGCACTATTAGGCTGCAGTCACATGGAGCGCAATAGAGCGAGCAGGATACTCTGAAGTGCATATTTGTTATCGGCTGAGTAGATTTTTCCTGAGAAAGGGACCAGGAAAGGGATGGGATGGGAGGCTTCTCATTACAGGAGGGGGTAGGGGGAATAAAGCAATTTTGCTGCTAGAAGGGCGCCTAAGACTTATAGGCGGATTCAATATCGGAACTTTTTCCCTAGATCGTATATATAGCTACGATCTAGAGAGAATGTTCCGTCGAGCAGACAGCACAGCAGTAAAGGGGCATTGCCAAAGACACGCGGAAATTCAAAATTGTAATATTAATAACACAAGTGCCTATCACTTAATGACCCAGGGCGCTAACTGGCTACTCTGTTAAATAAATAATTTTTAATAACACAAGTGCCTATCACCCAATGACCTGGGGCGCTTACTGGCAACTCAGTTAAATGAATAATTGTGAATAAATAACACAAGCGCCTATCACTCAGTGACTTGGAGCGCTTACTGGCCACTCTGTTAAATAAATAATTTTTAATAACACAAGTGCCTATCACCCAATGACCTGGGGCGCTTACTGGCAACTCAGTTAAATGAATAATTGTGAATAAATAACACAAGCGCCTATCACTCAGTGACTTGGAGCGCTTACTGGCCACTCTGTTAAATAAATAATTTTTAATAACACAAGTGCCTATCACCCAATGACCTGGGGCGCTTACTGGCAACTCAGTTAAATGAATAATTGTGAATAAATAACACAAGCGCCTATCACTCAGTGACTTGGAGCGCTTACTGGCCACTCTGTTAAATAAATAANATTATTTATTCAACCGAATTGCCAGTAAGCGCCCCAGGTCTCGAGGTGGTAGGCGCTTCTGTTGTTTTAATAGTTATTTTTTTAACAGAGTAGCCAGTAAGCACCCCGAATCATTGGGTGATAGGCGCTTGTGTTATTAATAATTATTTATTGAACAGAGTGGCCAGATAATGTCCCAAGTCGTCAGGTGATAGGCACTTGCGTTATTTATTAAAAATTATTTATTTAAAAAAGTGGTCAGTAAGCGCCTTGGGTCATTGTGTGATTGGCGCTTGTGTTATTCAGATTATTTATGTTACAGAGTGGCCAGTAAGCGCCCCGGGTCATCAGGTGATAGGCACTTGTGTTATTTATTAAAAATTATTTATTTAACAGAGTGGCCAGTTAGCGCTCCGGGCCATTGGGTGATAGGCACTAGTGTTATTAATATTACAATTTTGAATTTCCGCGTGTCTTTGGAGATGCCCCTTCACTGCTGTGCTGTCTGCTCGACGGAACATTCTCCCTAGATCGTTTAGCTATATATACGATCTAGGGAAAAAGTTCCGATATTGAATCCGCCTAACCCAACGCTGGATATGCTACGTGCACAAGCTGAAAAAGCGATCGCAGCAATACCTGTGCTAATATGTGAAACTACATGATATGTTTGTCTTCTGCTAGCAGACTGCTAAGCATCACTATCGTCAGAAAGTTATGTGTTTATACATCGACAACTATTCTTAGAGTTACATTTTTAATAAAATTACGAGTAGTATGTATATATTTTACTCATGCATGTTAATTAAAAACGCAATGAAATACATCGTATACTGTGGAGCTATTCACATAGACATTTTTTGCTTATTTCATTGTGAACGTTCGTATTGAAAAGAGGGTTCCACTGTTCCGCTAAACTCAAATTGAGTGAGCAGACTGAGCAGACCTATACTGTGTTCTCTGTCAGTCAACACATAGTTGCGACCATAGCTCGAACAGAAATTGAGTTCAGGCACTGAACAGGTCCTGGACAGGTGCCTGAGCTGCCTGCGCAGGACCTGCTCAGGCATTAATGGAATTTTATCCAACGATGTGCACAGGACCTGCTCAGGCTTCTGCACACTTGCACAGGCAGCCTTAGCTCAGGCAACCTGGACAAATATAATCTAGTCCTGAACTGACTTTTACACAATTAAATAGTAAGGTTATGTTACATAAAAAAATGTTTTTAAGCAAAGAAGTTGATTTTAGTAAAGTTTTATGGGATACAGGTAAGCTGGGAACGTGATATTGCAATATTTTTAAAATTTTATCCATGTGGCTATTTGCAATAAAACACTCTCTTTTCCATTTCCGAAGTTGTACATACAAATCACGAACTTCATCAATATTGACACTTGTTTGTTTGTTATTTTTTTTTTTTTCTTTTTTTCTTACGCACTGTCATTAGTTGTGTTTAATTCTTCAAAAATTTCTTGCTGAATATCGCTCTAAATTTCTTGCTTATCAAACTGTACAGCTGAGTTTTCACTAATATTATCTGTAAGTTTAGCTTTTTTTTCATTATTTCCTTTAAATCTGTATGGTTTTCTTTTTTCCGAAATTTTTGTTTTACGAATAATTTACATTCTATATTCACGTCTATTTACATTCGCGTCTTTCGTCGAGAATAATGGTTTTGCTCCATTTTAGATTAATTAAAAAAAAGGTTAAGATTATACTATAGTAGCAGACAGTTTATGTCAGATCAGGCAAGAGCACCAGACCTGTTCAGGAACTGTGCACAGCCTGAACTCACATATGCATAAAATGCCTATCTTACCTGTGCAGGACCTGCACAGGCAGTCAGGCAAGCTACGGCACATTTCAATATTCGGGAGGCTTTGTTGCCTGATGGAAAAAGAGGTATAGGTCTGTTCAGTCTGTTCACTCAATTTGAGTTTAGCGGAACAGTGGACCCCCCTTTTCAATATGAACGTTCACAATGAAATGAGCAAAAAATGTCTATGTGAATAGCTCCGTATTTCTTAGAGTTCTTAGCAGACTTGTGAAGTTGGCGCCCGTAAATTTTAAATATTAATATTTTGCACCTATTCAGGGCTTAAACGATTCCTCCTTACTTGCGGATTTATTCTCCACTTAAATTTTTATTTGCCGATAAATAGTTTGCGAGATATTTGCAAAATAAAAAGTCGAAAATGGGCGTGGCGCTGAAGTATAAGAAANTCGAGACTTTTACAGTTAAAAAACGAATTATAAATATTTTTTTACAAATAGGTCAGTTCCGACTCCTACCTAAAATCACAAAAGCTATAGTAATAGTTTGTAGTGAATTCATTGTATACAATTATTTTTTATGTACTGACAAGAAATAATCAGCCATAAAATATTAATAAAGTTCAATTCGAAAAACCAAAAATTTGATACTGAATCTGATACAGTTACGGTGGAATTACCCATATATGTACACTATTATTATGTGATAAGTTTGAGAAAGCGGACGATACATATATACTAAGAGCGCGCGGTGGCTCAGTCGGCTAGGTTGTGGGTCGGCACGCAGGAGACCGCGGTTCGATTCGCGGCCAGTGCGACTTTTTCGGGCAAGTACCTCTGTGAATTTTCACCACGCAATACTCCTTGAGGAGGGTTTAGGCGACCTCGCAGCATAATTGCCTGACTTCCCCCTACCCCCCTCCCAGTAATGGGAGACCTCTCATTCCTCTTCCCTTCCTTCTCCCAAGTGCTCAGTGCCCCAGAGTAGTGCCCTTTATTGAGCTCTGCGAACTCCGCGAGCAACTTGCTAATTTCGACTCGAAAAAAATACCCAAAACTGTGGAATCGTTAGCAACGTTAGCAACCGCTTTGTAAAAAACTGTCGGATCAAGCAGTTTTGCAAAAAAAAATAAATTTGATACCGTCGTGCGAGAGACATATAAAAAGTATCTCCTCCACCCTTTGCAGTGTGTCTATACTATCAAAATTGATATCGATCGTTTGCAATGTAATTGTCGTTTATGTTGAATAGTTGCAAATTGTCATATTTTTATGTATAGCAGGTAAAATAATTATTTTTGTCAAATGTGGAATGTGCGATTTTTTTTCTCAATACAATAATACATAATACACATTGCTGCGCATGCGCCGTGTATACAGCTCCATAGTTCCATTAGCATGGTCCTTGGTCCAGCCCAACACATCTGGTATATAGGTCTACTCGTTTTCTGTGTTTCTGCTAGCAGAGTAGCAGACAGACAGATCGACAGATGTAGCCACGACTTTATATATGTAGCTACAACTGGGTTTTTCGATTTCACCTTTGTTTCAACTTTGGAAAAGTGGCACTTTAAAAGACGTAATACCAGTTAAATAGCCTTGAAGTAGTATTTACAACAATCAATCTAAATTTTGTGTTTGGATATGTTTTACATTACATTTTTCA